GTACAGGGTTGGTATAAGCTTGGTGTCTGACTTTTCATTTCTGGTTCTCTTGTGTAGTGTACCACGTAAACTAGAAATACTGGGTTTCTTGTTAGTTGTCGGGTTCTGTGGTCTGGATATGTTCCCCAAATTCAAGTTTTGGAAGTTTGATCCCAGTATAGTGGTATTAGTAAGTAAACCCTAATGAGAGCTGATTGGGTCATGAGGAAAGATCCCCAGAAGAGGCAGCTGACCACATCTGAGGAAGAAGAAGTTGTCTTTCTTCTTCTTGTGTTTTTATTTTCCTGTTGAGAAGTCCTGTTAGTGCTCTTTGCCTCATGGTTTCAACTTTATCTTTTGCACTTTCTGGGACAGTTCCTCAATGCTAACTTCAAGGTGTTTAATTTAGTCAACAGTCATCAGTCTTTCTGTTAAGTTTTGTTCTTATTTTGGGGCAACATAGTTTAAAATTTTCAAGAATTCTGATTACTTATTTTCAAGTCAGACTCTAGTGTTCTCCAGGTTTACAGAACTTGACCTGCCCCTGATTAATGCTGTCATCATGGAATGGGTTAGTTATTACAATAGTGGGTTAAAAAATGAATCCAGTCCTCAAACTTTCCTTTTCACAGGTACTCATTAGCCTTTTTGCCTTTCCACAACGGGTTGACTCAGCCAGAAGACCCTCACCAGATACTAGAACCATGCCCTTGGACTGCCCGGCCTTCAGAATTGTGAACTGAAGAAATCTTTACTGTTTATAAATTACTGTGATATCCTGTTATAGTGGGAGAAATGAGCCAAGACACTGGAGAAGACCTTAATTTTCTCATTTTTTAGATGTCATTTTGCAAGAGGTGCTGAATTCACAGACCAGTGTGGTTTTCAGTCCAAACACTCCTTTCACTGTCTTAGTAACACTTCTAAATTTTTCTATTACTTCTAATGTCAACAGTGGCTGCTGGCAACCAAGCAATCTGGAGATGGAAACACATCCTGTAAGTTTAGCCATCACAACAAACAACCATTTGATTTCTCAAAAGAGAAAACAGGAAAAATAAAGTCATCTTCTTCCTATTGAGATGCAGAGAACTCTCTTTCCTGGGGGCTTACACTTCTCTTCCACTTTGTCTCCCTTCTGTGTTCTCCAGCAGGTAAAAGGCTATTACAGAGCATTGTAACTTGGCTAAATCCACTTTAACTCTGGTTGGGAAATTTGGAAGGACTGTGGTTTGCCCACAGTCAGACAGTATATGAACCATGCACACATACTCTTCACATGAATCTGTGAGAATTCTCTTCTGTTTCCACAATCCTGTGGGAAGAGCACTTCCCTAGTTGTCCAGGTTGGTGATGAGCTCCAAAAGGCCCATCCCCAATAACTCTGAGCTCTCCTTACTTACTACCCCCTCTACCAATCTGAGAGTTGATTCCTGATAGTGAGACATCCTAGTACAACACATGTCCTAGAGTCTAGCCCCAGGCCACCATGAGGTTCAAGTTAAAACTTCCTCCTGCTACCACCTATGAAGTGAATGCTGCAACTCAGAGATGCCATCTAGTCCTGCCTATAAAGTTGTTTTAAAAAAATAAAGAAAAGTCTCACGTGCTAGGCAAGTATTTCCATTAAATACTGAAATTGGAAAAAAACAAAAAACAAAATAAGAGTTAGGAAGATGGTGGAGTGGACTAGGCAGCAATCCCTGACCCCTCCACATCCCAGAAAGTGGTGAATGAACAGCTGACCAGAGGGATGTTCAACTCAATATTGAAGAGTTTGAGACTTGTAGAGACTTGAAGTTTGGTTATTGGTGCAAAAAATAGGGGCAGAATTCCTTGATCCTTAACCTGTGCCAGGGTGGAGTCAGGGAAGAGAGATAACAGGAAGATGGAGATGAAAAGCACATATGCATACTTCTTTAACAACAACTGGAAAGAAAAGCAAAACAAATTAAAATTGGACAGGAACATAAAAGATAGTGAAGGAGATCAAGCCATTTAACCCAAATTGTGGACTGATAGCCATGGCAGCCATGGCAGCCATTTTGTAGAATCTACAGCTAACTAGCTTCCTTGGAAGAAAATAAATCAACTCAGCTTCTCCTCACCTTTAGATAGCAATAAATAGAACCAGAGAGGATGCTTCTGAAACAGGTTGTCTCAGTAATCCACCTAGAAGGAACTTGCAGAGAGATCGATGCTAGCTAAAAATTACTGAAACCCTGTACCCATCATCACAGAAAAGGTGAATGGAGTGGAGAAACTCCCAGAATTAATCACTCCTGAGGAGTGCTAACCTTAACTCAGTGCTCAATACAGCATCCACAGTAGCTCAGGCAAAGATGAGCCAGGTAACATCCCATCCCCATCATGGTGACCAATAAAACCACTTTGAGCTATACCAGCCAGGATGGAGGCTTTGGTGCCATAGAAGGCCCACAGAAAGCCTGGACCTTCAGGCTCCACAGTACTAGACAGGCACAAGGTTCATGCCCCAAGGAGATTACTGTGAAGGGGAGCAGGCCCCTGTGATTCACCACCATGAGCAGTGACAGCTCAGACATAGGCCAACCAACTCAAAGTCACAGAGATGGTACCCTGATGATCTATATCAGCCTAAGCAGAGGCTTCTGCAACAAAGCCCATGGACAGCCCATGCTCAAGGGCCCCACAGTTGCAGACTTAGGTCGCACCCTTCCAGGGGATACCCAGCAGATGACAGCAGAAACCAGTGGTTCATAACTGTGGATAGTGGGAGCTCAGATGCAGGTGAGTCAACTGACTTTATATCTCATTAATAGGGATAGTACCTCAGTGATCTACATCAGTAACGGGGGATACTTTTGCACCTCAGATCATCCAGCAAGAGCCCACAATCACAGGTCTCATTTTTGGAGACAGCCACATGTCTCTATGCCACTTTAAAAAAGACCCTGTGGACAGGAGTAAGTGCACAGCATCTCATAGAAATCAGAGTGACAGCCCTGAGCCTTGCATCCTATGCTCCTGTACCCAACAGAAATAGCCAGCAGATGAAACAGATTATTCTCTGCACATGTGACCTCAGACCCCAGAATGACAAATAAGAACTAGCTGATGAGAAATCTATAATACCCTATAGCTCCTGTACCGCAGCACCTATAAGAGAATCCAAAGCTGTAGAGTGATAGGTACCTTCTAAAAGTACCAAATCCTGATGAAAGCCAAACCAGGAATACCCAATAAGAATTTTCTCCACCTTGTCATGGATTACTATAAGTAGCTCTAATATCAGTTTTGATCATACATATGTTACTCTTCATTTTGATTTGACAGTTGTTTTCCTAGTATTTCATATGCCTCCAATACATGATTGTATTTTTCTAACATTTTAAAAGTATTATTTGGAATCATCCTGTTTTCCTAGCTCAGATTTACATTTGTTCCCTTAGTCCCTCTTCTCTCTCTGACATTACCTGCTACTCCCTCAACCAAACCTGCTTGATACTTTTCTTTTTTTAACCTTGGTTTATATTATCCTCTTCTATTCTTTCTTTCTTTTTGCTTATTCTTTTCTTTCTTTCTTCTTACTTTCTTTCTTCCCTTTTTCTTCCTTTGCACAATTATATAATGCAACAGTAAATTTACTGACTTTGATAATTAATTTCTCATCCTCTTCCAGAACATTTCTACAATTTTATACTTGGATTAGAGGAAATGTGGAGAACAATATCAACAAGTTTTCATATTTCCTAAGACTAATTAGTACAAGGCTTTGCTCTGAAATGATTATACTTAATACGGTTCAGTGTCTTCTTTCAAGGTGGTGCTGATATGGGGAAGAGCAGAAGACACACATCAAGTGAAAGTATCAATACCTGGATATTCACCCAGCCAAGAACTTTTTTTCTTTCTTTCTTTTTTTTTTTTTTTTTGGTACTAAGGATTGAACCCAGGGGTGCATTATACTGAGCCATATCCCCAGCGCATTTTTAATTTTTATTTTGAGACAGGGACATGTTGAGTTGCTTAGAGCCTTCATAAGTTGCTGAGACTGGCCTTAAACTTGTTATCCTCCTGGGTCAGCCTCCTGAGCTGCTAGGATTACAGGTGTCCACCGCCACATAACTAGCCCAGGACTCTTAAGAGAAAAGAACTCACTAAATAGTCCCTTGCATAAAAGTAGAAACAATAATCATCTCAGAATATGGGTAGACATACAAGCAATATGAAAAAGCAAGGGAACAAACCACCTCAAACAGCACCACAACATTTCAACAATTGATCCCATTGACAACACAATGGAGGAAATGTTGAAGAAAGAATTTGGAAAGTTCATAGTGAAGATATTCAATAAGATAAAATAAAATGTAAGAAATTAACTTAGAAAGAAAATACAAGAGGTAAAATATCATTTAAATAAAGAGATAGAGATTCCAAAAAAGAACCAAACAGAAATCCTAGAAATGAAAGACTCAATAAATCAAATTTACAATTCAATGGAAAGCCTCGCCAATAGATTAGACCACATTGATGACAGATTCTCTGTCATTAAAGACAAAGTACATAATCTTCAATATAAGGTCAACTGATACTAGGATTGCTGCATGTATACACATGGATGTATAACCAATGTGATCCTGCAATCTGTACATGTGGAAAAATGAGAATTCATACCCTATTTGAATCAAATGTATGATATGTCAAGATCATTGTATTGTCTTGAGAAACTAATAAAAAATTAAAAAATAAATTTAAAAAAATAAGGTCAACAATAAAGAAAGGATGTTAAAAGACCATGACAAGAATATTCAAGAAATCTGGGATAACATTTAGAGACCAAATCTAAGAATCATTACCACATGGTCAAAGATTCCAAAATACAAACTAAAGGAATGCACGGTTTTTCAATGAAATAATATCAGAAAAATCTCCAAAATCCTAAGAAATAGATGGAAATCCAAATACAATAGGCCTATAGAACACCAAATAGTCAAGATCAAAAAAAGATTCTCTCAAAGACATAACTAAAATGCCTAACAGTGCTCCCTTTGGCAGCACATATATTAGACTTTGGAAAATACAGAGAAGATTATCATGGCTACTCCATAAGGATAGCACACAAATTTGTGAAGTGTTCCATATTTTTCTGCCCCTACCACCAATGTCACAGAAATAACTAATACGGTGGAAGCTACAGACAATACATATTGTTTCATTTTTTTGCCAGACACAATTCATAATTATTTACTGTTTTTACTGAAGGAAATTGCTAGTCCTACTATTTCTGAATATTGGACCAATTAACACTGTAGATATCAAAATAGGAATTAAGTACCTAGTATACTGCTAAATATTATTTGCATAGATTGTTATTATTATTGGGCTCTCCCCAATCTGTGAGGTACTAATAACATACAGGAACACTATCAACTCATTAAGTCGAAACTCTGTAGCTTCATATCCATCCAGATAGATGGGTGGACACACAAACAATATGAAAAATCAAAGGAACAAACTGTCACAAACAACACATAATACCTCAACAACAGACTCCATTGATACCATAGTGGAAGAAATGTCAGAGATGGAATTCAAAAAGTTCATGGTTAAACTAATCTATGAGGTAAACAGTAACATAAGAAATTAAATCAGACAGAAAATGCAAGAAGTGAAAGATCACTTCAATAAGGAGATAGAGATCCTGAAGAAGAATCAGTCAGAAATCCTCAAAATGCATAAATCAATAAACAAATTAAAAATTCATTGGAAAGCATCACCAGCAGACTAGACTACTTGGAAGACAGAATTTCACAACAATGAAGACAAAATATATAATCTTAAAAATAAAGTTGACCAGGGAGAAAAAATGCTAAAAGACCATGAAAAGAACTTTGAAGAAATATGGGATAATATAGAATGACCAGACATAAGATTTATCAGGATAGATGAAGGCTCAGAGATAGAAACCAAAGCAATGAAAAATCTTTTCAATGAAATAATATCTGAAAATTCCCAAAACCATAATTATGAAATTGAAAATCAAGTACAGGAGGCATCTAGGACCCCAAGTATACAAAATTACAACAGACCCACACCAAGGTACATTATTGGGAAAATGCCTAATATACAGGATAAGGATAGAATTTTAAAGGTTGTTAAAGAAAAAAATGACAGGTCACATCTAGAGTAAAACAAATCTGGATCTCAGCTAATTTCTCAACTCAGACCCCCAAAGCTAGGAGGTCTTGGAATAATATATACCAAGGTCTGAAAGAAAAGTGGTACCGAACAAGAATACTATACCCAGCAAAATTATGCTTCAGAATTGAAGATGAAATAAAAATCTTCAATGTTAAAGAAAGGTTAAAAGAATTAACATCTAGAAAGCCTGCACTACAAAACAAACTCCATAAGGTATTTCATGAAGAAGAAATGAAAAATAAAAGTGAAAACCAGCAAAGAGAGGAACTACACTGGAAAAATAGTCAATCAAAGGAGAAATTATTCAATTAAAAAGCGGAAATAATTCAAAATTATATGGAATAAAATAATATCTTAATAATAACATTAAATGTAAATGCCCTAAACTCATCAATCAAAAGACATAGACAGGCAGATTGGATTAAAAACCAAGACCCAACAATATGCTGTCTCCAAGAGACTTACCTCATAGGCAAAGACATCCACAGACTGAAGGTAAAAGGATGGGGGAAAACCATATCATTCAAGATACACAGATCTTGTAAATAAGCAGGGGTTTCTATCCTCATGTCACATAAAGTTAATGAGAAGGGACAAAGAAGGCCATTTCATGTTGTTTAAGGGAATTATACATTAACACAAATTATATCCTCAAAAATAACCTTGAACATTAATGGCCTAAACTCACCAATCAAAAGACATAGACTGGCAGGTTGGATTTAAAAATCCTGGAAACTAAATAATATCCTATTGAATGACCAATGGATAACTGAAGAAATCAGGGATGAAATTTAAAAAATACTTAGAGGTAAATAAGAATAGTGACACTACATATCAAACCTCTGGAACACTATGAAGGCAGTGCTAATATGAAAGTTTGTTGCATTGAACTCATTCATTAAAAGAATAGAAAGTCACCAAAAATAACCTAACATTACATCTCAAAGCTCTAGCAAAGAAGAACAAAGAAACACCAAAATCAATAGAATACAGGAAATCAGTAAAATGAGAGCCAAAATCAATGAAATTGAAAGAAAAAAATTCAAAAAGTCAACTAAAAGGTGGTTCTTTGAAAAAATAAATAAAATTGATAAACCCTTAGCTAAGCTAATGAAAAAGAGAGAAAACTCAAATTACTAAAACTCATGATGAAAAAGGAAATATTACCACAGACACTACTGAAATACAGGCGAATATCAGAAACTATTTTTAAAATGTATACTTCAATAAAATAGAAAATCATGACCACATGGACAAATTTCTAGAGACATATGACCTACCCAAATTGAATCAGGAGTACATATAAAATATAAACACATCAAATTCAAGCAATGAAATTGAAGACACTATCAAAAGCCTACAAAGAAAGAAAAGCCCAGGACCACAAGGATTCTCAGTCAAGTTCTATCAGACCTTGAAAGAAGAACTCACACCAGCACTCCTCAAATTATTCCATAAAATAGACAAGTAAGGAACCCTTCCAAACTCATTCTATGAAGCTAGTATCACCCTGATGCCAAAACCAGACAAAGACACACCAAGGAAAGAAAGACCAATATTCCTGATGAACATAGATACAAAATTTCTTAATAAAACACTAGAAGATAACATACACAAACATATTCATCCCAGAGATGCAAGGTTGGTTTGACATACAGAAGTCAATAAATATAATTTATCATATCAATAAACTTAAAAGAAAAGAATCCTGTGATTATCTCAATAGATGTAGAGAACACATTTGATAAAATTTAGCATCCATTCATGCTCACAAAACTAGAAAAACTAGGGATAATAGGAACATATTTCAACATTGTAAAAGCTATCTATGCTAACCCCAAAGTCTACATCATTCTACATGGAGAAAAATTGAAAGCATTCCCTCTAAAAACTGAAACAAAACAGGGATACCCTCTTTCACCATTCCTATTCAACATAGTCCTTAAAAAACCTAATCAGAGAAAATGGAAAACATAAAAAAAATTAAATAAATATGAATAGTAAATAAAAGGAGAGCTCATACTATGTTGAGTGCCACAGACAAGTCAAGATGGCGCCTGGCACTTTGCCAGAGGGAGTGGTTTGTGAAGTAACGCCAGCAAGCCATTAGGATGAGAGGATTCCTTAATGACTGACTGCTGTGTCTAGATGGTATTGATTGAGTTAAGCTGTGTGTAATTATTAAGATAATGAGGATTCCTTGATGACTGATTGATGTATCTAGATGATGTTAATTGAAACAAGCTGTGTATTCAATTATGTATATATACCCCTGCTGTCCTGCAATAAAGTGGCTCCCGCTGTATCAACCTTCACAAGTTGCTTGTCACCCCCCCCCCCCCCCCCCCCCCCCCCCCCCCCCC